TATAGCTTTCAGAAATAAAAACAGGCAATATTTGGCTTTTTTGTCCAATCCTGGGGCTTGAAACCAGAGGTTGGGTGCTGTCTATGAGCTTCTTTTGCTCAAGTGTAGCACCCTCCCACTTGAGCCACACCACCACTTCTGGATTTTTTGGTAGTTTAGTGGAGATAAGAATTTCACAGACTTTTCCTACCCAGGGTAGCATCTAACTCTGATCCTCAGATCTTAGCCTTCAGAGTAGCTAGGATTACAGGTGTGAGCTACTGGTGTCCAGCTGACATTTGGTTTTTGTTTGGCTTATCTTCAGTTCAGCATAATTGTCTTCAGTACCATCCATTTTCCTGCACGTAACATGATTTCATTTTTCTGAGTAGTATTTCAAATGTTAGAGATTCAACATACTTCTTTTTTTTTTTTTGTCAGTTGGGAGGCCTGAACTCTGGGCCTAGGCACTGTCGCTCAGCTCTTCAGCTCAAAGGTAGCGCTCTACCACTTGAGCCACAGTACCACTTCCGGGTTATTTTGTCTATGTGGTGTTGAGGACGTCATGCATGCAAGGCAAGCACTCTACCACTGAGCCACCTTCCCAGCCTCATGAGATTATTGTAATGATCAAATGAAGTATAGGTAAAACTGCTATGTAAATATAGGATGATGAGTATTGCTTACAACCAGGGAGAGAACTAAGTGATTTAAGAGGAATTATCCTGGGTGCTGGTGGCTCATGCCTGTAATCCTAGCTACTCAGGAGGCTGAGATCTGAGGATCTCAGTTCAAAGTCAGCCTGAGCCAGGAAAGTCCTTGAGATCTCCAGTTATAACCACCAGAAAACCAGAAGTGGTGCTGTGGTTCAAAGTGATAGAGTCCTAGCCTTGAGCAAAAAGAGCTCAGGGACAGGGCCCAGACTCTGAGCTCAAACCCCACGACTGACTAAAACAAGAGGAATTATATTCTCTGAATTAATGTATACTGATAATTAGTTCATGGAAATAATTTCTTTTTAAAAATGCCTAGAGCAAATCATATGTGTAAGTGTATGACTTAGACACAGCAGTGCTATAACTTGTGACTGTAATAATTAAATGAGTAGATTTAGGGTCTTCTCTTTTATGATATGGTTTTGAAGTAGTACAGGGATGTATGTACAGATTCTTATCCCCACCCGCTGCTTCTGTGCTAGGGATAAATGAAACCCAGGGCCTCATACATGCTAGGTAAGTGCTCTGCCACTAAGCTATAATCTTAATCCTTTTATTTCTACTAGTTAAACAGTCTCGTAGTGTTGTTCACAATAAAGTAGAATTTGGAGACCCAAATGGAGAAGGTTCTGTGTTTGATTATTTAGATTAGAGTTCCCTAACATCTTTGGTACACTTTAACTTTTAAAATGTTCTTTCTCATAGTAGCATTATATCTAGTAGGCAAAATTCTTAACTTAAGATTTATTTCTTCGTTTTATGCCATTCGGTTTGGCATTGCTCATTGAGTATATGAGAGTAAGATTAGTTTATAAGGAATGTGAGAAAAATTGCTTTTTCAAAAAAAGTCTTTTTCTTTGAAAATGTAATTGCTTCTGGTTGTGGGAATCTCCATGGGTATTGGAGCTATAGGTCACCTCATAACTTTTTACAATGTTAGGGTGCCTTTTCTACTAGCCAAAGAGAAATGTAGAATTAAGGCAAAAAGGATTCAAGCTTTGGGCAACAAACAGTAAGGTATCAAATGAGATTTTTCTCTCAGTTAGCTAACTAAGAGGAACAAACTGCTTTGAAGGGAGCTAGTCATTACCTTAGCAAAAAATTGTTTCTGAGAAAATATTACAGAAAAACATGGAAATATTTTTCCTAATTTTTCTCTGCCATAAGAGGGTAGGGAAAGTAGAACAGTGTTTTATTGTGGAAGTAACAGTACTTTAGAGGCCTGGTATACTAAGGAGACCAAGGCAGGAAGATTACAAGTATGAAGCCAATCCAGGCTACATAGTGAGACCCTGTACAGCTCAAAGGACAATTTGGATGTGTTCACATGTTGCCTATTAGTATGCCTCATTAAAATTTAGCTTAAAATGAACCAAAATAGATGCATACAGTGGTGTGTACCTGTAATTTTGAGAGAGTGAGGAGGAAGAACCAAGAGTTTGAGGCCATTAAGACTGTCAAATAAACAATAAATAATCTGGGCACCAATGCTTTACATCTGTAATCCTGGCTACTCAGGAGACGTGAGATCTGAGATCGTGGTTTAAAACCAACTGGAGCAGCAAAGTTCACGAGACTTTATCTTCAATTAACCAGCAGAAAAGTGTGTGGCAACATGCTAGCTTTGAGCAAAAAGTTCAGGGACAGCGCTTAGGCCCTGAGTTCAAACCCCAGGACTCACCACAAGAAAAGAGTAAGTAAAACAAGAAATCTAATAAAAATTTCCTTTTGCTCCAATTGGAATCCAGGTAGAAGCTGTTCAAAATTACTAGAATGACAAGTTCAGGAAAGGTGTGTGTGTGTGTGTGTGTGTGTGTGTGTGTGTGTGTGTGTGTGTGTGTGTGTGTGTGTGTGTGTGTGTGTGTGTGTTGCAGTATTGGGGTTAGAACTCAAGGCCTTGTGTGTGTGTGTGTGTGTGTGTGTGTGTGTGTGTGTGTGTGTGTGTGTGTGTGTGTGTGTGTGTGTTGCAGTATTGGGGTTAGAACTCAAGGCCTTACTAGGTAGGCACTCTACTACTTGAGTCACACTCCCAGGGAGAGTTTTGAATACAGGTTATGTTTTATCTTTCACTTTATGTATAGACATTCTAAATGGTCAACAGTAATTTTTTTTGTCAGTCATGGGACTTGAACTCTGGGCCTAGGTGCTGTCCCTGAGCTCTTCAGCTCAAGGCTAGCACTCTACCACTTGAGCCACAGTGTAACTTCTGGTTTTCTGGGAGTTAATGGGAGATGAATCTCATGGACTTTCCTGCCTGGCCTGGCTTTGAACTGCGTTCCTCATATCTCAGCCTCTTGAGTAGCTAGGATTACAGGTATGAGCCACCGGTGCCTGGCTAAGAGTAAATCTTGAAGATTAATGGTCAGAAGAAAGAATTCTTTCACCCCTCCCTCTTATTCCTCACCTTTTTGGAGTCCAGGTCTAACTATATAGCTCATCTGGCTTTCAACTCATGATTCTTCTGCTTCAGCCTCCAAGTGTTATATTTACAGGTGTGGCCTACCAAACCTGGCCATTAAAAATTTTTTCCAGTGAAGCTGCTTTAAATGCAAAATTATTGTGTATTATATTATTTGTATTTTTCTTCTTGACAGTGTTATTCAGACTTTTTTGTGTCGGTTGTGGGGCTTGAACTCTGGGTCTGGGTGCTGTCTGTCCCTCAGCTCTTCAGCTCAAGGCAAGTGCTCTACCACTTGAGCCACAGCACCACTTCTGGTTTTCTGGTGGTTTATTGGAGATAAGAGTTTCACGGACTTCTTGCCCGGGCTGGCTTTGAACCACCATCCTCAGATCTCAGCCTCCTGAGTAGCTAGGATTACAGGTGTGTGCCACTGGTGCCCGGCAAGAACCAGTTTTTAAAATATAATTTTATAATTGTTAAGGTGATAACACAGAGGGGTTACCATTTCATAAATCAAGTAATAAGTGCATTCCACCCCTTCCTATGCTTTTCCCATTTTACCCTCCTGCACACAGGTCATTTAATACTGAATAGCATGATTGCATTTGTTTCCCCCGCTTTCTGTGTTCTCTCTTTGCTCCGCCCCCCAAAACAAAAACCCTTAGCAAAAACAAATGCTGCCTCTATCACCATCAACAATTACCAAAAAAACCATTTTTCCATTTCTTGGAATTCATTTCACTAAATAGTATTTTGAATGTTCAGAGTCATATAATTTTTTTTCTTAGTTGTAAGGGTTGAACTCGGGGCCTGAGCACTGTCTCTGAGCTCTTCTGCTCAAGGCTAGTGCTCTACCTCTTTGAGCCACAGCTCTACTTCTGGTTTTTGAGTGGTTAATTGAGTGGTTAATTGAAGATAAGAGTCTCATGGGGACTTTTCTGCCCAGCTCTCTTGGTAGTCATATTTATTTTTTACTTCTCACAAAATACTCTCTTTTTCACCTTTTAAAAAGTCAGACCAGTGCCAGGACTCAATGTCAGTTGTTCTGGGTACTCAGGAGGCTGAGATGAGCTTCAAAGCCAGCCTGAGCAGGAAAGTCTGTGATTCTTTTTAATTTTTTTGTCAGTCGTGGGGCCTGAACTCTGGGCCTGGACACTGTCCCTCAGCTCTTCAGCTCAAGGCTAGCGCTCCAGCACTTGAACCACAGCACCACTTCCAGCTTTTTCTGCTTATGTGGTGCTGAGGAATCGAACCCAGGGTCTCATGCACGCAAGGCAAGCACTCTACCACTGAGCTACCTTCCCAGCCCCAGTCTGAGATTCTTGTCTCCATTAAACTACTGTAAGAGGGTTCAAGTGGTAGAACGCTAGCCTTGAGCAAAAAACCCGAAGGACAGCACCCAGGCCCTGAATTCAAGCCTCAGGACTGGCACCAAAACAAAACAACATAAAACTAGGCATAGCACACAACTGTAATCCAGTAATTGGAAGACTAGTTTGAAGTCATGCCTGGATTACCTAATGAGACTTTGCCTCAAAAAAAAACAACAAAAAAAAATCAACCCAAAAACCAAGAAGGGAAAAGAATCCAGAAGCTGAAAATACAGGAAAATAAAAGAACCCATTCATGCAAGACCCTCGGTTCAGAACTTAGCAATTGCCCCCAAAATATAAAAGCATTCCTAGATTATAAAGAGAATAACAAACATTGCTGGATTTGGACCAACGGCTATAGTGTGCCACTCTTTTTTTTTTCCTAATATAGCCATGCTTTCTGGAATTTTGTTTATTTCAGGTTTAAGATCCATGTCTCCACCTGATCTCTGGATTTTCACATACTTCACACTGTTAAATAGAACACCTCATGATCTCTGTTTTCAAGATTAGTCTCCTCTCTTCTTTTAGGTAATTTTCCACTTGTTCATCAAGATGGAAAACTCAGATTCTAACGATAAAGGAAGTGGTGACCAGTCTGCAGCACAGCGCAGAAGTCAAATGGACCGCTTGGATCGGGAAGAAGCTTTCTATCAATTTGTAAATAATCTTAGTGAAGAAGATTATAGGCTTATGAGAGATAATAATTTACTAGGCACTCCAGGTATGCTACATGTAATTTAAGGATTTACATATGTAAATAGATGTTTTTAATACTTTAGTCTGTTTTAAAAATGTTTCTTCAGTTATTATAAAATATGACAAATGCAAGAAAATGTCGAACAGTACTGCTGTACTTTTACTTGAGTTTAATCATGTGAAATTATTCTATATCAGACAGATCTTAAAGTTAATTTTGTTACAAGTTTTGAGTGACATACACAAGAAGAATGGAGCTGAATAGTCACTTGGTTCTATTTTTTTTTTTGTCGGCCGTGGGGCTTGAACTCTGGGCCTGGGCGCTGTCCCTCAGCTCTTCAGCTCAAGGCGAGCGCTCTACCACTTGAGCTACAGCGCCACTTCCGGTTTTCTGGTGGTTTATTGGAGATAGGAGTCTCACGGTCTCTCCTGCCCGGGCTGGCTTTGAACCGCGATTCTCAGATCTCAGCCTCCTGAGTAGCTAGGATTACAGGCGTGAGCCACCAGCGCCCGGCTTAGTCACTTGGTTCTTAATTAGCTTTAACTTAACTATACATGAATCCAAGTGTGGAATAACAAATGAGAACTTTAGCTCCTAGTACATACTTCAACCGTTTTTGTCATCTCTGCTTCTCTGATTATGTCCCAATAATAATCCGCCAGAGTTAGTCAGGGGTATGATGACAATCAGAACTTAGTGCTTAGCTTTACCCTTTTAAGTCTCGTTTGATTCTAGTTAAAACAGCATATGTTGTCTGCCATCTCATTTCTAGTGGATTTGTATAACTTTCAGGTGATTACATATATTTTCAAAGCTAAAATTTTAGTGTGATTTTAAAGGAAGCACTTTATTTATTTATTTATTTATTTTTGTTGGTCCTGAACCTGAACTCAGGACCTGGGTGCTGTCCCTCAGCTATTCAGCTCAAGGCTAGCACTCTGCCACTTGAGCCACAGCACCACTTCTGGCTTTTTCTGCTTATGTGGTCCTGAGGAATCAAACCCAGGGCTTCATGCATGCAAGGCAAGCACTCTACCACTGAGCCACCTTCTCAGCCCAGGAAGTACATTTTGAGCCAATAGACCTGATTTCAATCAGAATGCTTAAGTTGGAGTTCTGGCCTGGCTATTACTCAGTGTAGCTTCTGACAAGTCAGTCACTGAGTTTCCTTATTTAAAAATGAAAAACAAAGCCAGGCATTCCCAGTTACTTGGGAGATTAAGGCAGGAGGATTTAAGGGTTAAAAGTAGGCAACAGTTTGAAAAAATTAGATATTGTATGCAAAAGTACTTAGTAAGCAAGAAACATTTGTTTTAATGTTGGAGATTTAACAACCCAGGATCTTTATTTTTTTTTTGTCAGTCATGGGGCTTGAACTCAGGGCCTAAGAGCTGTCCCTGAGCTTTTCTGCTTAAGTCTAGCACTGTACTACTTTGTGCCACAGCTCTACTTCTGGTTTTCTGGTGGAAATAAGTCTCAGGGACTTTTCCTGCCTGGGCTGGCTTTGAACCTCCATCCTCAAATCTCAGCTCCTGAGTAGTCAGGATTATAGGCCTGAACCACCAGCACCCAACTTGACCCAGGATCTTACACATGCTAACTTTTACCAGTAAGCCATACCTTCATCCCTTGGAAAGATGTTGGCATAAGTGCAATTTTGGGGGGGAGGTCAGTCTTGGGACTAAATCTAGGCCTGGGTGCTGTTCCTCAGCTCTTCAGCTCAAGGCTAGTGCTCTTACCACTTGAGCTACAGTGCCACTTCATTTTTTGGTGGTTTATTGGAGATTTCCTGCCCGGGCTGGCTTTGAAATGTGATCCTCAGATCTCAGCCTCCTGAGTTTCTAGGATTAGATGTGAGCCACCGGTGCCTGGCTAAGTGCAAATGAAAATTACACAGGTTTCTATTCACTCCTTAGTTCTTAAAATCTGAGTTAAGAATCACTAGTTTTCTTTTTATAGTTTTTAGAATTTTTACCATTAGCTATTTTTCAGACATAACATTTTTTTTCTTATTATGTGTGAGACCACTGCAGGTCACTGATGAAGTATTTGCCACTCTTCTAATCTCATCTTTACCCTATAGTGTTTGTTATAAATCATAGCAGTGTATACCTGTGATCTCAGCACTCCTGAGCCTGAGGCAGGAGGATCTTGAGTTATAGGCCAGCCTGGACTACATAGTTTGGTACATGAAGAGAAAAAAAAATCACTGGTTTTCCTTTTTAAAATGGCAAACATTGTTAAACTTCCAGGTGAAAGTACTGAAGAAGAGTTGCTGAGAAGACTACAACAAATTAAAGAGGGTCCACCTCCTCAAAACTCAGATGAAAATAGAGGTATACTTTGCTTTGGATGGTGGGTGTAAGATGGAATGATAGGAATTTCGTAGTAGTGAGTGTCAGCCAAACATTATCCAGAAATGCCACAAATTAATTTGGTGCTAAGTAAACTGTTCATAAAAAAGAAAAGTGGTATTTTCTTGATATTTGGGATATATAGTGAGAATGTCAGCATGCTTTTTCTGCCTTACAGTAGTTTTTTGTGTTGACACAGAGAAATGGCCTATTTAAATGTGGATTCTTTTTTGCCAATCCTGTGGCTTGAACTCAGTGCCTGGGCACTGTCCCTGAGCTTCTTTTACTCAAGGCTAGCACTCTACCACTTGAGCCACACTACCACTTGTGGCTTTTTCTGTGATATGGTACTGAGGAATTGAACCTAGGGCTTCATGCATACTAGGCAAGCACTCTACCTCTAAGCCACATTCCCAGCCCTAATTGTGGATTTTTTTTTGTCAGTCGTGAGGCTTGAACTCTGAGCCTGGGTGCTGTACATGAGCTTTTTGCTCAAGGCTAGTGCTCTACCACTTTGAGCCACAGTACCACTTCCAGTTTTCTGGTGGCTAATTGGAGATAAGATTCTCATGGACTTGCCTGCCTGGGCTGACTTTGAACTGAGATCCTCAGGTCTCAGCCTCCTGAGTAGCTATGATTATAGGCATGAACCACTGGTGCCTTGCTTTAATGTGATTTTCCCCTGCTTGGTTTTCCACCTTCATTAAAATTTCCTTCTACTTAATTTCTTATTTATTAATATGTAATTTCCTCACTAGCAGAGAAATGCTGCCATTGTTTGTCTCAATAGGGTATAATTTTGTTCCTCTTGGGAGCATTGGCAATATCTGGAGACATTTTTGGTTGACACAACTAAGGGTTTCCTACTAGCATCTAGCAGGTAGATAGCATGTATGGCACCAAACATCCTGATATCCTGTATTGCACAGCACAGCCCCAGAATTAATTGGCTCAAAATATCAGTAGTACTACTGCTGAGAAACCCTACTGTAGAACTTGAGAGCTATGGCAGTAGTTTGGCCCTTGAACATGCCATTATATATGCTGTGTTAAAGGTGTTGATCTACAGGTTTATGTCAACTTAAAATTTTAATGGTTGACAAATTCTGATAATTGACCTTGTTTATATTTTTGCTATGGCTACACTATTCTTTCCTTTTAAAATATATCTCAGGTGTTATTAAAGGCAGAAATAATGTTATTGGAGTAAAAAGTTTACTGGAACCAAAATATACTATCACTGCCTTAACTAGTATAGTTTGATTACATTTAGTATTTTAACAGTGGATGGAAAAAGTTGTTAGTCTGTCAGTCCCATAGTGTCTGCTAGCCTACATTATCATGAAGTACTGAAAATAGACTTCTCTTGAGAATGCTTCTAAAAACAAATTAGTTCCCTAAATTTCTCTAGGATTAGCTTTTCCACAAATCTATGTAGTATAACTTGCAAAGATTTGTAAATGTGAGCCAGTTGTGTGCTGTAATCCTAGCCACTCAGGCGGCTGAGGTGTGACGATGGATCATAGTTTAAAGCCAGACCAGGCAGGAAAGTTGATGAGATTCTTAACTCCAATTAACCAGCTAAAAGCCGAAAGTGGAGCTGTAGTTCAAGTGGCAGTGTGCTAGCCTTGAGCAAATAAGCTCAAGGACAGTACCCAGGCCCTCAGTACCAGCATCTCCCCACAAAAGAGAAGATTTATAAATGTAAAAATTATTCAGAGATTTTAAGTTCTTTAGTATATTTTCTGAGCACTATGATATGATGTCCTAATTTTAGTAGTTCTTTTTTCTCCCTCTGCTCCTTCTTTGTTTTAAACAGGTGGAGAAGCTTCAGATGACGTATCTAATGGTGACTCTATAATAGACTGGCTTAACTCAGTTAGACAAACTGGAAATACTACAAGAAGTGGACAGAGAGGAAACCAGTCTTGGAGAGCAGTGAGCCGGACTAATCCAAACAGTGGTGATTTCAGATTTAGTTTAGAGATAAATGTTAACCGTAATAATGGGAGCCAAAACTCAGAGAATGAAAATGAGCCATCCACAAGACGTTCTATTGGAGAAAATACAGAAAACAACAGCCAAAGGCAAGTGGAAAATGCACAATCTGAGTCAACATCTGGAAGACCGTCTAGATCAGAACGAAATTCAGCTGAAACATTAACTGAAGTTATACCTACCAGAGGTCAGAGGAGGGCAAGAAGCAGGAGCCCAGACCACAGGAGAACCAGAGCAAGAGCTGAAAGAAGCAGGTCACCTCTGCATCCAGTAAGTGAAATTTCACGAAGATCTCATCATAGTATCTCATCTCAGACTTTTGAGCATCCTTTGGTAAATGAGACTGAGGGAAGTTCTAGAACCCGGCACCATGTGACATTGAGACAGCAAATATCTGGACCTGAATTACTAAGTAGAGGTCTCTTTGCAACTTCTGGAACAAGAAATGCCTCTCAAGGGGCAGGTTCTTCAGACATAGCCACCAGTGGTGAATCTACAGGATCAGGACAGAGGCCTCCAACCATAGTCCTTGATCTTCAAGTCAGAAGAGTTCGTCCTGGAGAATATCGTCAGAGAGATAGCATAGCCAGCAGAACTCGGTCAAGGTCTCAGACACCAAATAACACTGTCACTTATGAAAGTGAACGAGGAGGTTTCAGGCGCACATTTTCACGGTCTGAGCGGGCAGGCGTCAGAACCTACGTTAGCACCATCAGGATTCCAATTCGTAGGATCTTAAATACTGGCTTAAGTGAGACTACATCTGTTGCGATTCAGACCATGTTAAGGCAGATAATGACGGGTTTTGGTGAGCTAAGCTACTTTATGTACAGTGATAGCGATTCAGAGCCTAGTGCCTCAGTCCCGAGTCGAAATATGGAAAGGGTAGAGTCACGGAATGGAAGAGGGAGCTCTGGTGGTGGTAGCAGTTCTGGTTCCAGTTCGAGTTCAAGCTCCAGTTCCAGTCCTAGTTCCAGTTCCAATGGAGAGAGTTCAGAAACTAGCTCAGAGGTATTTGAAGGCAGTGTTGAAGGAAGCTCATCAGGTGCCAGACGAGAGGGTCGACATAGGGCTCCAGTTACATTTGACGAAAGTGGTTCTCTTCCCTTCCTTAGCCTGGCTCAGTTTTTCCTCCTAAATGAGGATGATGATGACCAACCTAGAGGACTCACCAAAGAACAAATTGACAACTTGGCAATGAGAAGTTTTGGTGAAAATGATGCATTAAAAACATGTAGTGTTTGCATTACAGAATATACAGAAGGCAACAAACTTCGTAAACTACCTTGTTCCCATGAGTATCATGTCCACTGCATCGATCGCTGGTTATCTGAGAATTCTACCTGCCCTATTTGTCGCAGAGCAGTCTTAGCTTCTGGCAACAGAGAAAGTGTTGTGTAATTAAGATCTGAACTCTAAGCTGTGTGGCTGGAATAGTGATGGGCAAACCGGACTTGCTTGCTTTTTGTCCACTTTTTTGAGTGGTGCTTCAATGTAAAGTGACAACCTGAGTTCAGTCATTGCTTTCTAAAGAAACCTTGTCCGTTCTCAAATGTTTCTTATAGAATAAAAGAAAATGTTTAAAAGGCAATGTTTTAGGGCCTAAAAGTTTGATTTCAATATCAGATGGTTTGATAGTTTCTGTTACTGATAATTTAGTTATGTACACTTATAAGTTCTTCCTTTGTTATCTTAAAAGGTCTACTTTAGCAATGGCACCCATCTGTTTCATGTTGCTATTTTACAGATTGCCACATCATAGAGAAGCAAAGAAAATTCCTGGTGAAGGCTAAGTTACAGTATGTGTTTCATAATCAGTTACTTACAGCTATGCCATTCCCAGCTATTAGTTGACACTTAAGTAAAGTCACATTCTGAATATTATTTGTTCACCTTTCAGATTAGGTGATGCTGGACACATCAGTGTAAATAACACTAAAGTTAGGATCTTGTAAGTGTATAACTGTCCTAAGCCCATCACTGTGGCACACTGTAGAATGACTTATAGTTTAATTGATATATTTATCTTGTGGAAATATTAAAAAGCTTATGCTTGTGTAAGTGAAAAAAATCACATTCATTTGTTTAAAAATATGTAAAGCTATTTTGTAGAGGCTCAGTACTTTTCCAATGCACTGTTATATTAATGCATTAAAAATTGTAAAGTACCATGCTTAGAAATGAGGAAACTGCTTTTTGTGAGCCACCATAGTCAAAACAAAACACACCAAACAAAGTACAAAGCTGCTTTTGTAAGTGTGTAGATGTCAAGAGCAGAACATATCTATAATATATGTGAACAGCTACTGTGACATGGAAAAGGAAGGATTTTGCAGAATCAAACTGCATTAAAGACCAATGGAAAGCATATAATTTAACTTGGATTTAGGCAGGAAGTGAAAGATGGGAATAGAGAAAACTGCTCTGAAAAAATTTTCATGAAGACCTTAATACATACATGTACTGGTTTCTTATGGTGAGAGCAGTAGCAGCTTGAACCTAGTATTCTTGAGTAGATGAGGCAGAACATTAGTATATTTGGCAGCACTTTCTTTGGTTTAAGAAAAATGAACCACTAACACCTGGCACAAGGTGATGTTTTTTACAAGGTTGGTCCTCAGAAAAAAGGTTCAGAAAAGAGACAAGAAGTCACTTTTAACCTAAGAATTGCAGTTGGTACAGATAGATTTGTGTGCTAATAGTTAAGCCTCAGATTTGCTTTTCAGGATTTATAGTGCAAGGTACTAGTGCACACTTGTTAATATTTCATTACTATCTCTCTAGCACAGATCTAACTAAAGACCTGTTGAGAAGGGATGTTTAGAGATAACTCAGTAAGGAAATTTTTTAAGGACAAAACTTTGTTGAAAATGAACCATATTGGATTAGTTGAAATTTCAAGTTTAATTGTGCTGCCCATATATGAAGATGAGACTGCTAATAAGACCGTCTATGGACATGCACTTTGTTTCCTTAGTAATAAGAATGCATTCACAGTAACCCAGGTTCTCTTGCCTAATTTCTCTTTTGAGGCTAGTTGGGTTCAGGATTAGTCTGGATGTGGAGCAGATACTTGTTTTTATGGGAAATGCTAACAACAGGTCAGAAGAGGGATTGAACTCATCCCAGGCCTTTAACCAAAAGAGCTAACTACCCAGTAGTAGTCAAATATTCTACACACTAAAACAAGTCTGCTCTAGCAATTATCTGGCTATTGTCACTGTTATCACCGTAGCTATAAAGATTATTTCAAAGCTCATTCTTTCATATTTTCTAGCTTTCAGTCCTACCTAAGTATCAAGGAGATTTGACTTGTAAATATGGTAGTTGTTTACTAAGGATATGTACTGCTCTTGCAAGGAAATAATGTCCAAAGCTTCACTTATTTTTTTTTAATATAAGCAGATTTCACTGTCTTATGGCGCTTATGTAATACATTTATCTTTTTAAAAGAATTGTTTGTGTAAAAGTCAGGATTTCTTTATATTTGTGAGCCTCCTTGTCCCCTTTCCTAAGGTGTAATGGTTTCCAGATCTGCGGGGTAGTCCCGATTAACTAAAAACAAAAATCAATTTGGGCATAATTCATTATTATAGGGTTATTAATTTTAAAACAACAGCACATTGTAAGTATAAAAGAAAGTTACTGACAACAGGTACCTCCCTAACCTCCCCAAATGTATTACTCATTTATGAAGTATTCAAGTAAGAGGTAACTCAAGCAGAATGCTGGTTTTGAATGTAGATGATGAAGCTATTAATAAACACTGGAAATAGAACCTTTAAGTTTTTAGTCTTTCAATAGGATGCACATATTTGACATGTGCAAATGGACACCTATTTCAAATAGCACTCATATCTATTGGGTTGTGTAGATTGCTACATTTCTGTTTTGCAAAATTAATGACTGATATGTACTCATTAGTGTTGTGGACATTAAAGACAAGGTCATAAGTACACGTCAGATACACAATGGACAACAAAATTTTTCCCCTACCAGTGTCCAAACACCTATTCTTGAGGGAGCATTTTTCTTGCAAAAAACCTTACATTTCATTTTTTTAATCTTTGCACTTTTTAATTACAGAAAGGTTCTGTCTTTAAGACCTAATTTGAACATATGCCATAATAGGAGCAAAAAATAGACAATTTGGGGAGATTACATTGTTTAAAGCACTGTTTAGAAAGCCAAGTACTAAAACCTAAGCTTAATTGAATATTTCTGCTGGTTTTAAAAATTGGGTTACTAGTGTGAAACATTTGCAGTGTTTTTTTTTGTTGTTTCACTCTAAGCTGACAAGGTTGAGCTTAGTACTAAAGAACAAAATTGAACAAAGTAGTTTGCAGACTGGCAACACTAAAAAGAGTTGTGTTGCCGATTTGGCATATTCTAAAAAAAAACATGATAGTTATACATCAATGGTGTTAATGGAGATAGAAATTGAGAAAACTGTTCACATTAGTGCTGGATGTAGGCTACTATACAGTTTATTTAAAAAACACCTTAATTCCAGGAATTAATACACAGAATCTCTTAAGAATACGATCATTTAAATTTATTCAGATATTAAGATTAGGAAACTGGTTAAGTGTGTTACCTCAAGTAATGTATTCCCCACCCCTCTGGGAAAACATCCCTTTTTGTGCCAAGTACTCTCCTATTGTCTATGTCTCATTGAAGGGTTATCATTTACTATGCTTTGTGTATAACAACCTGCTTCCCAAGTGTCCACCGTAGAAAATGGGTTGACCATTAGCTGACTTGCAGTCCACTCCCCAAACACCCATGTTTGCAATAATGCCTCTTACCTGGGCTATTCTTAACAGCTTGCTAGAATACAGTGGCACCTTGTGGTTGTTGATATTTTTATTTTACAGATGGAGGGTATTTTTGTCCACTCTGCTTTATTTTTTGTCAGTAGTGGGGCTTGAACTCTGGGCTAGGGCTCTGACCCTCAGCTCTTCATCTCAAGGCGAGTGCTCTACCACTTGAGCTACAGTGCCACTTCTGGTTTTCTGGTGGTTAATTGGAGATAAGAGTCTCACAGACTTTCCTGCCCTGGCTGGCTTTGAACCATGATCCTCAGACCTCAGCCTTCTGAGTAGCTAGGATTACAAAGTGTGAGCCACTGGAGCTCTGCTACTCTGCTTTATTCCTTTGGGCTTTTTGTGAATGGAAATAACTTGCAATTTGCCTTATTTGATTTTTTAAGAAAGTTTTACCATACTGACTTCCTGACAATTGTATTACCATTATGAAATAGAAGCCATGCTTGTAGGGCACTTTTATTTACTAGTCTTATGAGACAATACTGATCACTACTTTAAGTATTCTGTACTTTAGTTCTATGAGAGGTTAATAAGGCATGTGTTAAAAGGTTGCTATGTTCCTTTTCCTTTGGTATAATTCAGTATAATATTCAATAACAGTGTTATAGTTCATTGAGTTAACTAGTAAATTGTTCTTTTGTAAAACATTTGGAAATGTAAACTGATGTAACATGCTTCAGTTGGAAAGTTAAAAGTGTGAGGTCTAAGGAACTGGTGTTCATTTATTTTGGAAAGCAACTATAAACAGCTGCGAGTTCAATACCTGTCCATGTTTTTAGCATTCTGAAGTTAAGAATTTCCCAGGTAGGGACATTTCTAAAGCATTGTCTACTCACTTAATCCTAGTTTGTATCTAAAAGTCTACAGCATAGATTAGAGCTGTTACCAGGGTGGTAGAACTCTTAAGGGAATAAAAGAACTAGGCTTGTCCATTGACACTCGGTTACAGTGACTGACTTGGTTTTGATTAGGACTTGTTTCCTGAGTTTCCACAAGTTCCTGTGTAGTCATTTGGTTGAATAGTTGCTATCTTAAAGACATGCAGTGAAAGTGAAACCCATTATGCCATTGTGCCTTGTTATTTCAAGGTTCCTCTATCAGTTTCTGATCTTGCATATCAATTCTAGTAGCAAGTTATGGCTGAACCAGCTGCCCAGCCTTATGTATTTAGTGCCCTGTTACTAACATTCTTTTAATTGATTTGATTTGCATAGGTATTAACTGTCCAATGTTTGGATTTTACCTCGATAGCTCCATTTGTCCCTGGTGCTGCTTTTAAAGATGTTAGAGCCATGTGATCAGGTATCAAGTTGAGTAAGGTACGCAATTGGCCTGGGTATGTATCTGTGCCTGTTTTATCTTCTCCCAGGAAGAGAGCTGCTTTGGTAGATGTTTACGTGGATTCATTTAAAGAACTGGGCAGCAGTCTTGGAAAGCTTTCTGACACCTGTAAGAACCTAAAGAGATTTGGAAGGGGAACAATAACAAAGGCTGCCTTTATGTCCTCGAACATGAAGCACAGAAATGTATGCTCTGTAAAGACTAAAATGATTGTTATACCAGGGCTTCCTGACCTCTGGGAGAGAAACTTCAAAAAATCAGAGCACAAAATAAATCTGCTTTATCTGGTTTCTCATTTTCTTTCAATTTAAACGTGAACACAACACCCTTCTACAAAATATATCCAACAAAACTCCTGGTAAGGAAGCCCTGTAATTAAATTTAAGAATGTATCAATTTTCCTTTTTTTTTGTACAGTGCTTTACACCTGCTAAAAAAAAAACTTGTTTAATGCAAAACAAGACCTTGAAAGGTCAGTCATTTTAAAAAGTCGGTTTGATAATAGTTCTTTTAGGAAGAAGCTTTTTCCCTATGTAAGATGTCATACTGCAGATTTAAAATATAGACTATCAATAAAATGCATGAAGTGATTATTTGTGCTTTTTTAATCTCTCCTTGGGGTTTTATTTTATTAAAGGGGGACTTTAATAAAGGTTTTATATGGTTTTATTGCCTCAAGCCAATGTCACATAGACTTGATTTTTTATTTTTTTACTTTTTATTTTGCCCGTCACGGGGCCTGAACTCTGGGCCTGGGCGCTGTCCTTCAGCTCTTCAGCTCAAGGCTAGCGCTCTCACTTGAGCCACAGTGCTACTTCTGGCTTTTTCTGCTTATGTGGTACTCAGGAATTGAACCCAGGGCCTCATGCATGCTGGGCAAGCACTCTACCACTGAGCTATCTTCCCAGCCCTTAGACTTGATTTTTTAGAATCAAGGGGAGTTCCCATGCAATCTTGGTTTTAATTTCCCCTCCCAGCTGAGTGTGGGTGGGTACATTTTATGGTACTTCTTAAATATTACCTGTGTTGTGTAGTTAAATGGCTTAATTTCTGGTAAGATAAAGGAATATATTCCAAGAAACATGGGAATATTTGTATAAATGGCATTTTAAGTAGGTGCATCTTTGAGGTTTCTTTTATTTCCACCATTGTCCTGGCCACTCTTGTTTCATCTGTACACAGAGCTCTTCTGGGTGTTCATGCGTGTGGTACAGCTTGAGACTTCATCCCTGCATCCAGTCTCTTAAACGTCCAAGCAACTAAGATGCCTTTGTCTCTAAGTAGGGTCATCACATTCTGATAAGACTTCCCTGTGATATGCATTTAGCTAATGGTGAAAATTTTAATACTTTTCATCTTCTCTGGTTCCTATAGAGCTCTGTCATTGACA